TTTTTGGTTTTTTTTTGAAATGCTTTGGTTCAAGGAGTTGGAAGAGCCGAGATCTTGTTCTCTGCTCCCCTGCGAGCTTGCTTTGGACGGAGAAGCAGCAGTAGCAGGGGCAGAAACGTGATCCATACGTTACTCTGTAGTGCATAAATACTTAAAATCTTGCTAGGGCGTTTTAAAATAATGCATTGAATTTGGGGAGTATTTTAACATAGTTCAGAAATAAATTGGCCTGTCAAGTCAGCTGAAGTTTCACGGTTAGTTTTCATCTCTTCGTTTCCTACCTGTTTCAAGAGTAACACGATGCGTTTCTGCTGGAGGATGCTAAGATGTGCCGTGTGTGGTATCTGGAGAAGTTGTGATTGAAGGGTACAGTTAAGTTCTTTTTCTGATTGAGAGGAATGTTCCCTTTGTTTTACTTAAATGTGTTATGTAAAATAAAAAGGAATGTCGAGGTAGAGCAGTCTTTGGGATTGCTACAGTGGGGAGAAGAACGTAATTGGAAATTAAAAGCCATGGCCGTGATAACGTTAGGCACTCTGGAACACAAGCTGATGTATGTGGAGCAATAGACAGCTCGGTTTTCTCAATCAAGACAGGAAGGAGCGTTTCTTACAACCGTCATAACGTTTTTCTAAGTACGTTGTTATAAATATAGCTACAGATATATTTATCCTGTCATCTTTGTTCCGAACGTTGCAGCAAATACTGGTAGAACGAAAGCAACAGACTCGGGAAGAAATTTTCTCACTCGGTGTGGTCCTTCTGCTGACTTCTCCCCTACACCTCCTCCAGTTGCTCATCAAACAACTCCTCATCATAAGCTTCAAATCTTTACTGTGAAGGCACTTCCTGATCCGTCTTTGCTGCACTATCGGCTCCAATGTGTATCACAAACATTGGTACCATCCTTTTTTTAATATATACACACACACACATATAAAGAAGTTTCAGATGAATGTCTTTCTGCTTTCTCAAGGCTGTTTACAGTAGGAACACTTTGGGGATTTCTGTCTCATTATCTTCCTCCAAGTTTTTACTTTACGTTTTCTTTGGCTACGAAGTCTTCAAAAAAACTCCAACAACAAAACCAGCGATGTCTTGGCATACCAAAGGCCTGACTACTGTTTCCTTGTTATTGTTTTCTTTCTGCCCGAATCCCTCTTGTTTACATATTTGAGCTGTGAGTTATTTGGGCTAGATAGTTTCAGCTTACGATTATACTCAGAAATAAGCCAGCAGAATGCTGGCACTTGCTAAGGAAGTGGCGGAGGGGAGAAAGATCTTCTAGTAACAGTTACTGTTCATAATTCGGTCCCGTTTGTGGTGTGCGGTTAAGTGCAGAGAAGCCAAGCCCTGTGGAACGTTAACGCTCGGCGTTGTGATAAACCAAACGCTGGCTGTGTCTGTAAATGGAGCGCAGCCTGCCTCGTGCCATGAGTTAACCTCGTAAACCGTCACCCGTCGGAAGGCCAGTATTATTCCAAAAAAAGGAGTTTCTTGGGAGAAGCTTGTGTGTGTAAACCCTACTAGATTATTTTTACTATAACATGCATTTAAGAGCTTAAACATACATTCAGAATAAAAACATGTAGTCTGGAATAAACACATCTTGCTGAATTACTCTTGGAAAACAGACTCGGCTTCCTTGCGGGTGTGCCAGATGCCGATGGAAAGGCTGAAGCTACGCATGCACGCGCGTGTGGACAAGCGCGTGATTTTGTGCGCGGTTTCGTGCGAACGGGCTTTGTTTGCGTGCCCCGGATGTGCCCGTGCAGGGCTGCAGGCACTGTTGTGTCCCTGCTTGCTGGGAATACGGCCCTGTAGGCTGTCTGGCTTGCGGAGGGACGCATGTACACTCGTTTCCTGAAGCCATGGATGTTGATGAAGTTGCCTTTAGGTGGAAGGGAAGTGTGAGCTTTGTTTGTGTGGTGAATCAAGCTGTTGCCAGAAGAGAATGGATTTGATTGCAGCTGTTGGAGTATGTGCCTATTCACGTTCTAGATCAGAAATGATCATGTCAAACACGTTATCATTACAATCAAATTGCATGGAAGTCATCAAAACTACACGTCAGCCACGTAATTATTTACAGTGCCCTTTTTATTACAGCTCTCTTACCCAGGTAAACGACGTTTCCTTCTCTCTCCAGCAGCTGTCCCGTGTAAAGCTACTTGTTTTCACGGAATCTAACGCTTACCGTTGCGGCGTGTGCTGTGGTTCGCTGAAAACCTCAAGCTATTAAAAGCATCCATGCAACTGAAAGAACTGCAGCTGCCCTCTCCCACCCTCTTGCCTATCCTGGCAGAAATGCTTCGTTGCACTGTGCACTGGCTAGGAAAAATTGATTAGCGTTAAAAGGTCACAATTTTTTTTCGTCAGGCTAATTTTACCTAGAATTACTCTGTAGGCTCTGGATCGTAAACCTTGTAGAGGAGCCACAGCTGTTCTTGCCATGATGAAGCAGCTGAACATGATTTGTATTCTATGATTGCTGGAACTTGGGGTTGTGGTGCAGTAGAATTCCAGTGGAGCGCTTCCCTTTGAGTCCTGTAACTAGTGGTGCTAACTAATTTATCAGTCTGGGACTTTTACCATCCAAGTGCTAGCAGAAGCTTGATAGTGTGGCTTTGTTTCAGCAGCTGCTGGGATTGGGTTTACGTTTTCAGATCCCATCTCTGCCAGAGGAGTAGGAGGTAACTGTCCCGTTGTGCCAGGTTCCTGAGATGAAATGTGTGGAAAGTCTTTGGCTGCTGCCTGCTTCAGACGCCAGCGAGGACTGCGGGTGCTCCGCAGTATTGATGGTTGGTGGTTGTTGCTAGATGGGAGACTGTGGCAGCACTGGTCTCATCTTTTCCAAGGCATTTGTCTTCCCTGGGCAGAGCAAAAGCTTACCTCTGCTTAAGACTGTGATTAGACAAAAGAGGAGTCTTTCTGCTAGAACAGCTCTTCCCTTTCTCCTGCTGGGGGGAAGAACCTTCATGGAGACGTTTCATGGAGACTGAACCTTCATGGAGACTGAGCGATTCATCACCATAAGGCCTGCATTTTGTGACATAACAACCTTACGCAGTTTGGATGGCTTATTTTGATAAGTCAGAGTTAAATTTATTACTGATAAAACCCCTTTTGTTTGGCCCAAAGAGCATCAAGACCTCCCCCAGTTTATCAGATCTTAAGACGGATGATTAGTGATGGAACTGTGCAAAATGCCGTTCCAGGTTTGATTTTTCCGATGTGCCAAAGCTCACATTGTGTCCCAGCTCTTGCTGAGACTGTTTTCCTCTGGGGAGGGGGTCAGGGCAGTGCTTTTGTAAGGTAGCAGTGGACTTTTGATGGAGTAAAAGCGTAGGTGAGATGGCTGTGGTGCTCACAGGCTTTGGCGTGCTCCGTGCGCAGTCCTGCCGCCACGCTCCCGCCGGCTCTCCAAGCAGCCGTGCGCTCTGTGTCCGTCCCTGCTGAGCTTGGCTGCTCCGGCGTGGAGTTGTCTGGAGAGGAGTTTGGTCGTGGGTGCTGAGAAGAAGGCCTGGCTGGCCAGGTAGTCCAGAACAGGAGGAGCTACGGTGTTTCCTTCCAAGTTTCATAATGTCCGTTTTCTGCGTGTTTGCCTTGCCTCTCCTCCTTACCCCCTTGCCTGAAGGTGCTTCCCTGGCTTCCCTGTTAGTGTGGCTCCTCTCCCTTTGGTACAGCAGCTGACCTCGTGTTTCATCTCTCTGATGTTGGTTGAACCTTAGGCAGCTCCTTGCCGGGGACTTGCTGGCTGAAGACCTCTTTTCAGCTTCCTCATAAATAGCTTTTCGTTGTTTTTTTTTTTTCATTCTGGAATTGATAGATTCTAATTTCTGTGCTTTATCAGTTATTGTACTGCCTGTTTTTCTGCGTGCTTCTCTTCCTCTCCCCCTTGTCTGCTGTGTCCAAGTTTCCTATCTAATTTTGAATTGCGTACTTCTTGGCGTGAAGACGATCACTGAGTCAAAGAAAAAGCCTGTGCTGGAAGAGCTCTCTGGAGGTGATCTAGTCCAGCCTCCTGCTCAAAGCAGAGATAACACCGGAGTCAGACCAGGTTGCTCTGAACCTCGTCCAGAGGAGTTCTGAAACAGCGTGCGTTGCTGCGCTTCCTGCTCGTTGGCTGAACGAAACCCAGCAGAGCTCTCGGAAAGCTGCAGGGGCCTGGGTAGCTTTCGTTTTGTTGTTTCTTGCCATTGCACCAAGCTGTCATAGCTGCTGGAGCTGTTTGGCTCTGTTCTGCTCGCTGTTTGAAAGGTGGGGTGTTTTTTCAAAATTTTAAGGTTTAATAATGTAAGAGAAAACTTAGTGTAGAGCTATTTATATATATATATATACACATATATCATGTTGAAGTGCTTGGTAAGGTGAGGAAAATGTTTACCCCTGGCTTGCATCATTTGAATTTTCTGAGTACATGGTTTGGCTCGTTCTCAAGTTTGTTCCTCGGTAACGTTGTTATTTCAGTCACTTAACAAAGAATGGCTGCATCCGGTATTCTAAATTGTGTTTTGGCTCACGGATGTTACAAAATCTATTAATAGAAAATTTGAGGTTAGCTTAGTTAGAGTGTGTGTAATGAACTAGGATGTAGCTGTCTGATGTTGGTAGTGACCCACAAGCATAGTCTGTGCTACGGGTTGAATAGCTCATTCAAAACCACTTAGAAACTCTGCCTTTGACTGCTTGCCTATCTTGATCAGAGATTTCGTGATACTCTAGTGGCAGTTACTTTGTGGAGCAGGCTCTCGGTGTTTTGGATTGCAGCTTTTAGATGTACAGTACCTCGTCCTTTGCATGTAGCAAGTACTTATTGCTAACATGATAGCATAAAATAACCCTAAAATCAAGTGCATTTGGTATAATTGCAAAAAGAGATTTGTTTTCCAGCAGTTGTTCTTTTAACTCCACTAAGAAAACGTTTAAATACATAAACAGAGTAATACAGTTAAATGGAATAATTTTGCATCCTTAAGCTACGTAAATAAAATGTGTCAGAATTCAGGTAGCAGCATTAATCCAGAAAAACGAGACTCTATACAGTGTGTATTTAAGAACAGAAGTACAAAAAGTGTCATGTGCATAGCCAGGAAAATGGGGTCATGTTTGTTACAGAAAAAATGAGCCAAAATGTAAGAAGAGTCACTGTTTTGTGTTCTGCTATACTACTCATATATATATATGTATATTCATATAACTAAGTTGCTTAGCATTAGTGGCCAACGTCACTGAAGCCTTTGGCTGCAGACTCTGCCACCTGAGTAGCGTGAGCTGCCCTCAAACCCTTGCCAGGCTCAGGGAAGGGGGGCCCAAGGGCTCGCTGCAGCTGGACGAGGAGGGAGTGGGGTCACCCCTGACAGCAGCAGGGCCTCTGAAGAGAGGGGCCGAATCTGCAGCCTGCCCAGAGGCGAGGGACGGCCCCAGGCAGGGACAGAAGCCCCCAGACCCGAATAGCAGCATTGGATCAGCGGCCGCTTGGACACCACGTGGAGAACTCATGTGGGACAGGAACTGGGGTCGCCCAGGGGTTTATTTGTTCGGGGTCCCTCTCTGCAGGCACCCAGCTCGAGCTGTTTTACACCACTGTAGCACTCAGTAAATTCATCTGGTGTATGTCGTGTCGGGGACTCTGCTTCGGGGAACCTAGGGCCGAGCCTGAGCGATAAGGAAGTGCCCGAAAATGGGGGGGGAATGTTGAAAAGGAGCACCCGTCGGGTCCCTGGAGTCACCCACTGCGAAGGGACCCCGGTCCCAGCAGTGAGAGTCTGGGGTGGTGTGTGCGACTGTGGAACGGTGGGTGAGTGCTCAGGCAGCAGCTTCTCCCTTCGCAGTGTTTGTGATACCTGCTGATAATCTCAGAAGCTTTCTTTGGGTACAAGGTATTAAAATCACCAAAAGTTTTTTTGTAGTGAAGGTACTATTACTTTGCAGTCTGTCCCATACTGTATTAGTAAAAATTTTATTCTAAATCTTTGAAAAATTAATAAAATAAGCTCTTAAATTTTTTATCAGTATCATATCTTTGAGTAGCTTCTAACCTAGGTATGTCATTCTTTGAAACAGCAGACTTTTCAGACCATGATGAGCATAAAGGTTTGAGTTGTCTCTTTCCTGAAGATACAACTGGACCTCTTTGGCTGGAGTGAGTTTCAAGGTGCCGTTTAAAAAATAAAAAGCTCTCTTGGCCCCTGAAATGTGTTTCAGATATATTTATTGTAACAAGTATAATCCAAATATTGCTTAGAAAAATGTAACTGCTCTGGTGTATTGTAGTGTGTTCCTTGGTTAGGTCACGTAACTGAAGTGTTTGAACACGTAACGTGTGAGTTGTCTGTGCAAACGCCTGCAGGAATTGCAATGGATTCTGTTACCTTGAATCTAATATCTTTTTGTTTCTGTTGCTTGTTTCAGGAAACACTCCTTTACATCTTGCTGTGATGTTGGGACATAAAGGTGGGTAAAACCATTAAGTTTGTTGGCTCTTAAATTGTCTGGAAGACTTAGAGGCAAGAGGAAAAAAAATTTCTTTTAATTTTCTGGAATGTGATCTTGTGTTTCAAGCTAGTTCAAAGTTGAGCTTTTCTGAAAAGAAGGTGCCACACAGATTTAAGAGAGAAAAGTTGGAGGAGAAATCAGAGCTGTTCTTTAGGCCAAAATCAAGGAGCTGGTCAGTGGACGGAGTAGGCTGGAAAGGAGTTGTAGCAGTCAGACTCTTTGTGAGCCTGGAACAAGAACAGTGGGTGGACCCAGCTCCTCTCTTTTTGCCGAGCTAGAAGGAAATTGGGCAACTTGGAATATTGTAAAAGACTGAGAACTCAGAGCAGCGGAGGCAAGCACGTGCACGCCTGCTTCCCCTTTGGCGTCCGAGCAGCTGGAGCAGAGGGAGGCTCCGTATGTGCAGGCAGGGCGCCTGATGCGGGCAGAGCTCTCTTGGAACGTGCAGTTAATTCATGGTGCAGAAGAGTTACTGATTTCTGCTTGTGTCTGGTCGGCTGCATGCTTTAGATGTCAGCCTGCAGTTCCCCTCTGGGCTGCTTTCTGCACAGTCGGTCACCCTGTGTGCGAAGCCCCAGGTCCCCTAGGAGAGCCTCTGCCTCGCTTGCCTCGAGCAGGGCTGCTCGGGCGTGACGTCCAGCGCGGTGCCTGGTGTTACTGCTTTGGCTTTGAAGCCTCTGTGGTTGTGGATCCCCCGAGATCCCCAGGTCCCTTCCTAGCTTCTCAGTCCGTCTCGTTGGTGTCGAAGGTCACTCTTCTGTCTTTCTGGGGTGATGCATGCAGACTGTTCAGCTGTACCTAGCAGTGTTTGTAGCCAGTCTTTCCTCAAGTGCAGGGTGAATTTACATCCTGTTTGTTTAACTGAAAATGTGGCCTGGCTGGCAAATGCAAGCTCGTCTGCCTGCTCGCTGTGCGGTGTTGTGATTGTGTTAGCCACTGTATTTACGCAACCATCAAAACACCCCTCTCTGTTTGCTGACAAAGTGATTGGAGCTTTTGTTTGTTTACCACAAAAGATAGTATATTCACCAGCGAGGAATTTCTTCCTTTCCAAGCTCTGTGCTTGCCAGTGACTCATGCTTGTTGCATCTGGAATGGCTGGTAGTGTTTTCTGTAACACCTATGGTAGGAGAAGAATCCAGGAAGTTCCTCTGCCCGTCCTATGGGTGATGAGATGCTTCCTCAGCCTGCAGCTCCAGCTTGGTGCTGCTCTGCCATTTGCAGATGGGTCAGGTCGATTCTAATGAGATGTGGTGAGGAAACTTTCCATGGTTAGAAACTGAAGAAACGTTTCAAATGAGGGCAGATTATTCAGAACTTGGAAACACTGAAAGCTTTCTTCTCTTCTGCATTTCAAGGACTGTTTGTCGTTCCACCATCACCTTTTACCCATGGACAGAGAAGGGAATGCAAGTTGAGCTGTGACTCTGCTAGGAACTTGTGTGGCTTTGAGATGTGAACGTTGCTTTGTCGGCACAGCGTGTGTGTGCTGAGCATCGGGGACAGCACTGATGCGCGCTGTTACTGATGCTGTTGATGAAAAATGTAGCACGTTGCAAGTGTGTACCTCTGTTGATGGAGCACAGGACCGTGAGTTGTGTGCTCTGTTAGCAGTGCTCCAGATATCCACACAGAATCACAGAATGGTAGGGGTTGGCAGGGACCTCTGTGGGTCACCCAGCCCAACCCCCTGCCCAAGCAGGATCACCCAGAGCCGGCTGCACAGCACCGCGGCCAGGCGGGTCTGG